GGGCAGTTATGTGGGATTCTCCTCTTGTGAGGCATACCAACTAAACCCCTCGGTTCCTCCAACGCATTGGCTGAGGCCACGGGCACGCTTAGCTTTCGTTCGCCACCCTCATGATGTTTTGTCTGACTGATAGAAGCGTAATGTGGCGAACTTAATTGTGGTATAATAATGAGTGACTTAACATTAGTACATAAGTAAAAAAGACAATAAACACTAACATATGAAGTTAATTCTATTAGTGTTCGATCTCTATTTTGAACTTAACTGATTCAAAAATAGAAAGAAAAAAAGAAATTAATATATAACAATTTTTAAATTGATTATTATAAAAAAAGGAATTACGCATTACAAGGTATTCATTCACAATTCGTCTTTAAGCGAATATTTCAATTTAATAATGTCAACTGCTTTTTGTGCGATCGCTAAAGTAGCTGCCATCACGTTGGCTCCTGGAATGTTCGGCATAACACTAGCGTCTACAACTCTTAGATTCTTTAACCCACGTACCAATAAATTAAGATCGACTACACTATTTTCATCATCTCCCATTTTAACTGTACCAACAGGATGGTATATCGTCATACCCATATATCGTATGTAACAATCCCAATAAGAATCTGTATCAAAAATATGATTGGAACACCCTTTAATATTAACATCCTTTATTTCAATACCTAATGATTTGAAAATATCTGTATTCTCTAATTTATGTATGAATTTAATAGCCTCAATTAATGTTTCAACGTCGCTAGGATCTTCCAGATAGTTACTTTGAATTATTGGATTTGATGCTGGTATTTTATTGCGTAAATTTATTTGACCCTTAGATTTAGGATGTAATAAAGTGGGGTATATACCTAATAAATCATATTTGTTGTTCAAATCAATAACATTGTCAATAATTTCTCTTTTATATCCAACACCAGCGAGGTAACCTTTAAGAGAAATGTTATTGTACTTAGGATAAAACATGTGGTGGAATTGAATGTTAGGTTGGTTTGAAGAATTATCAGTGTTGATAAAACCTACGAAATCTGTTATACCAATTGAGGAGAGATGGCCACTTCTATTTAACATATATTGTAACAGAAATGACATTGCGTGAGATGGAGGACTGATTTCTTTTGTTTTTAGAAATATAGGGACTATTAAATGATCCTGTAAATTTTGACCTACAGGCAAATTTAATACACATGGAATATCCTTTTCTTCTAAGTGACTTTTTGGTCCAATTCCTGATAGCATCAGTAATTGAGGAGTTGCAATAGAACCCGCTGATATAATTATTTCTTTTGATACCATAACCTCAAACATGTGGCCGCTATCTTTCCTTATTTTTACCCCGATCGCTTTTTCTTCTACAGAATCAAAGATGATTTTTTCAACATATGAATTCTTTATAACATGCAGTTGCTTGCTTGCACGTTGTAGATACACTTTTGCTGTATTAAAACGTTTACCTTCTTTAATCATTAATTTAACTCTTTTAGTACCAATCAGAGCTTCGTAATTTAGATTTTGATGTGTTGGAAAATTTAATTCCTTCCATGCTTCGTTAATGATTTCATACCATTTGTTGTCATCAACTTTACCGTGATCGGAGATGTTCAGATATCTCTCTTGTTTTTCAAAATAAGGCATAAGTGCATTGTAGTCCCAACCTTTGCCCCAAGATGTAAAGTCCTGTGAATGCCCTCTTATGTATATCATAGCATTAATAGAGCTAGAACCACCTACACATTTGCCTTTACTCCAAATACAACTGTTGTCTTCAAAACCTAAGCAACTTCTTTCATTAGATTCTATATAGTACTTCCAATCGTTTTCTTTATTTAAAAATAAAAATGCGGGTACCTGGAACCAAAGTAAATAAGTTTCCTTGCCTGTTGACACTCTCAAATCTCTAGCAGCATTTCTACTGGAAGTCTCCAGTTCAGAATAGCTTACCTCGCTGTGAATATCAGGATCATCACCAGCTTCTACAAGGAGAATGGACCATAAAGGATTCGTATTTGACAGTTCACTGGCTATCAACGAACCTGCCGTTCCAGCTCCCACTACGATGAAGTCGTATGCTTCTCCAGCTGAAATGGATACGGGAAATTATATATTTGTTGACAGGGAGATTTTAACGTGTAACGGTTGTTAGAAATGATTGCTATGTCTTCTTTCCAATTCTTGAACTAAACGCAGCTTTATCTTAATTGTAATTCTTGTTTTTATAGGTATCTTACCTTTTATCTTTTCGATTACTTCCTCTGTTTTATCGTCCGGCCACTCTCTGTTAGTTATAATGGTGCAGTGGGCAGCAATCATTGTAGTCACTGCTCTTAAAAACATTTCACCTCCCGTACCCGAAACCCCCAACGGACATACTGAAGCGATGTTAGAGGATAGCGTATCCATATCTGAAACAAATAATCATCACCAATTCTTGTAATCTCTTTTAAAATAAACTGAAACGCCTAGCTATTTTTAATAGCAATATGCTTATTTCTCTTTGCTAGTGTAAAACGCAAGTTATTAAAAATTTATGTTCAGAATGAAGACATTTTTCAAAATGTTTTTAAAATATGAGCGTTATCATTTAAACTTTATTATTAAAATACAGTTAAACTTCTAAAGTGTTTTACCATGTTTTGAGTATTTGAATACTTTTATGTTTGAAGTTAAAAATTGAAACAGTTTCGCAATAAATTTACGAGTACTTACCGTCTGTCAAACCGACCTCCTTCTTGTGTTGATTCTTCCGACACTTTAGTAAATACTACTGCACATAGAATTGTTCAGTAAAGTAATTGCAACTCGATACATGATAAAACTAGTTTAAATCTGATATTGTTTACATTGTTGATATTGATATCAGTTGTAACGTCTGTTCAAGCTTCAATAATAATTATTGTGGCTATACTTATAAATTATTTGTACTTTATTATAAGAAGTATGTTTTCATTCAATGACTAGCTATTCCCATGCGGCTTCATCTGCATGAAATTATAAACATATTGTTTTATTTTTTATCTTTGTGAATTTTTCAATAGCAAATGTCGAAATTTAAATGCTCAAATGATAACCATGGCAACATCACTTCCTTGATGTTGGCACCTTGTAGTTTATGGCCTCTTTTTATTAAGGTTTTTTTTAAATTATCTACCCCCTAAGTTTAATATCGTACAAAAATATAGCTTAAAGCGTCTCGCAAGTTTAGTGCTTTTTATTAAAGAAAGAATTATTAAAAAGTTTACTAAGATTGTTGACATCATACACCACAAAGTAGTGTGTGTTTACGCTTAATATTGACAATTTGTCGTGTAATAAACTCTGCCTGCATACAAGCTGTAGGTCTTGTAATTTATGTATAGTTGAGGAAATCTACGGTGTATCACTCACAGAAAAAATCTATTCATTAATAATTCAGTACTTGCAATTAAATAAATTTATATGCCATACATAAAATCTCAAGTATGCCTTAAGTTTTAATGTTAGCAATTCTTATGTTTAGCACGTTCAGGCTATTTTAAACCTCAATATATTGTAATTTATCTATTTGTATGGACTATTAAATTGTTTGTTAAGTAATGAATGTTTGATACGGAATTACAAAATGCTAAGCACTGTGTCAGAAATTAACATATTTAACAAATATTTCAAGGAAAATACATGCGAAAATGACCCGAACAGGTAAACCTATAAGAATTTAATAAACAAATAGATCGGAATCTATAAATTTAAATTATGAAAAACACATAACAGCTATAATTATTATTGAAAACGGTTGTAACAAAATTATATCTAAATAAATAAAAAACAGTTTATTTGTTTGTAATTATAATTCAGAACGGTCTTTCAACCAGGACTGTTTTATATAGCTTGCACCTTTCTCCGCTATCATTATTGTCGGGGCATTAGTATTACCTCTGACAACAGATGGCATGATACTCGCATCAATAACTCTCAAGCCGTCAATTTTACGTACTCTTAATTCAGGATCTACGACAGCTGTCTCGTCTCCATCAGGCCCCATTTTAGCTGTCCCTACTGGATGGTACAATGAAAACGTCATTTCTTTTGCAATACATGCTAGAAATTCATCCGAACCTTTATCGAATCCTTTACAAGCATCCAAGTCTAACCAACTGAGTTTCAGTCCGTGTTGTTTAAAAGTTTCCGTATTCTCTAATGTTAAAATGTACTTCTTCGCATTTCTTATTAAAACATTAAGGTCATCAGGATCTTTAAAATAATCAGCAAATATAAGTGGATGTTCATTTGGGTCTGTACTTTTAAGCATTATTTTCCCTTTTGATTTAGGTTTTAATAAGACATTGTAAGCAACTATTACGAAGTTATTTTCATTTATTTCTCCAAATTTGTTCCATATTTCTTCACCGATGCCATGCTTACCCAAAATATCGACTAGATTGGCCATCTTAGGTGGCAGAACAAGATAATGAAATTGTACTTCCGGACTGACAGCGAATGGATCGCTTGAGTTAGCAAAAGCAATTATTCTATGTGGATTTACATCAGAAAAGATACCCTGATTAGTTAAAATATATTCAGAAAATGCAGTAGTAATTGTGGGTAAGGTATTGAAGTTTTGTTCCGTTGGTGTAGTGAAGTACGTAGGGAAGAAGACATGGTCTTGTAAGTTTTCTCCAACTGGTAAATCTGCTTTTACCTCTATATTGAAACTCTCCAAGTGTTTTTTAGGTCCTATTCCAGAGAGAAGGAGCAAATGTGGTGTGTTTATACTTCCAGCTGATATTATAACCTCTTTTTTTACTTTAACGACTATTTCTTTACCTTCTTTTTTGATTAATATTCCGCTGACTTTGTTTGATTTTGAATGAAATAGTATTTTGGTCACGAGGCCATTTTTAATTACATGCAAATTTGGTCTGTCTTTTATTGTACTTAAAAATGCTCTTGCTGTACTGTGTCTTTTCCCGTCTTTGATAGTAGAATATGATCTGGTAATTCCCATTTGGTTAGCACCATTTACATCATTTAAATATTTTATTCCTACTTCTGTAGCCGCTTTGATTATGATGTCTTCAAATGGATTTGTTACTTCTGTTTTTTGCACATTAAGATAACCTCCTTTACTATGGTACTTTTTGTTATCTTCTGTTAGTGGTTCTGAAAAGTTTTCACTCTTCTTGAAGAATTCCAATACTTCTTCGTAGCTCCAACCTTTGTTTCCGTTAGCTGCCCATTCATCGTAATCGAGTTTGTTACCTCTGACATAGAACATAGCATTGATACTACTGCTGCCACCTAAAACTTTACCGCGAGGCCAGGCACATCTATGTTCCTTATATCCTTTACATGATACTTCCGATGGTTCAGGTTTGTAACCCCAATCTAATTCAGTGTCCATATTATTGTAGAATAGCTGTGGTATCTGAAAATAATAAATGTACATTTGTAAGACAGCTCTATTTAGTGTTGAAGAATTTGACATAAATTGATTGGTTATTGTAATATCCTTTCTTATATTTGAATGGTTTTAATTTATCTCTGTTGTTATTTAGATAAAAAATATTTTCTACGATTAAACGGTTTTTAGGATTTGTGATTTCTTGTTACTAATAGATTTGTTTATTTATAATGCTATTTTAATTGGTTCGAAGATATCCAATGATATTGACCTCATTTTGTTTGCGATAAAAGGTTACTCTCATTTAATTGGTTGAACTAGAGTAATTAAGATTATTACGTTTCTAGTATAAGTGTATAGCATTTACAACGATCGTCCACTATATCACAAATAACAAAATAATAGTACAGGCGAAGTTTTGCTTTTTTCACTCTCTGTCTCAGCCTTCGTTACTTATCACAAACTCTAAGCTTTTCTCTTTAAGCTGACTTCGATACCGTTCTCAAAATGAAACGTTATTCTGTCAAAGTATAAAGTCAATCGGATTTTTATTAAATCTGGTACATTCTTTACCTCTGTGGATACAGTTGGATCGCCGCCCGCCTCTACAAGTAGAACCTTCCATGAAGACACCTCGCTCAGTCTATTCGCGACCACGGCGCCGGCGGACCCCGCCCCTACCACTATGAAGTCATAGTTTGGATCTGTAGCAAGGAAAACAAGTTTTTATTTTTGTACTATACTAACAAAGAAGCCAATAAGAGTAAAAAAACTTAGCATAACATCAAATAACCATTTTAATTTGATCGTTTGTAAATTGTCAACATCATCTCATTTTATTGTAAAGAATTGTAAAGATCAGGTCAATTTACTTGACATTTTTTTAAATAACAATTTGTACAATTTGTCAGAGTCAAGTGTGTAAGGAGCGATGACCTTTAATAGTAATGGAGGTTACTGTTCCCACAACTCTACAGCTAACGGGTACTTCGGAATATCATTCTAGCCAACCCAGTGCGCGGAACAATTCTAGCAGCCCCTTGTAGTGATCTCAGCAAACGAAATACCAAACCCTATAGTCAGACTTTGCCGCTTAGTATTGCAGCCTTTATGTAAGAAATATTTCACCATCAATAACAGCCTGTGTAGCGTCAGATGGCCATAAATGGCCTCCCGCGAGAGCGCACTGCGCTGCCAAGAAGCTCTGCACTGACTGCACGAACAGCGGCCCCGCCACTTGATAACTGTTGACGATCTCTGTGGTCAGCACTGGATCACACGCCCACATGCTGACTGCAACTAAAGACAAACATCTTATGTCAAATTAAAAAATCCAAACGCATACTTTAGCGGCTAACCATGATCTCTATCTGTATGCAAAATAACAGCCGTCCGTCAGAATTATACGATCAGCTTAGTAGAAACTAAAACTTTGTTAATTATAAGATGAATTATATTGACAAACATTGTTAATAAAAATGCAAAAAAAAAAATAACATAACTTATAATAATGCTGGGAATTATTTTTTACAAGTCTGTTTTAACAACTTATAAAGTCCAAAAATAAAAATAAATAGCTGTTCTCGTGCGACTTCATCCGCTTCAAATTATGAAAATTTTATTTTATTGTTTACATTTTTCAAATTACAAATGTCAAAATGACATGACATGATGACAACCTTGCTCCCTTGATGTTGGCAGCAACTTATGGTCTCTTTCCCACATTAGGGTTTTTAACCAAAATATTAACCCCCAAAGTTTAATGGCGTTAAAATATATAGTCTAAAGCGTCACGCAAGTGTAGGGCTTTTTATTAAAAAAAGAGTTATTCGAAAATATGCTGTAATTGCTGACATCTTAGGCAACAAAGAAGTGTGTGTTTACGATTTATTATAATAGTATAGATTACACGAAATTTAAAAGAATTGATTTGTTTAATGCGAGTTTATTAATATTTTCGCATTTTTTTTATTCCACCAGCTAACAATGAAACATGCGGTTGGATTTATTAACTGTAAAAAATAAGATAATCGCAAGTGGAATTTGTAATGTATTTTATATCAAACAAACAAGCATGCGCATTGTATTAAAGCACGTTTTGAAACATGCTACATTCTATATGTAATAATAGTAAATCTTTTCGAAATCAATAATAAAATTAAGTCCATATGAACCTGTTATAGAGGTAGAGGATAGTCTGGAAGAACACATAGGCTACTTACTTTTGTTTTCTTTTTAATTTCACGCCGACGGACTTGAGGACAAAAGCTAGTAGACGAATAAATGTAGAAAGCAAGGGTTTACCGAAAGTCATATTTTGAAAGGTCTACAAGTAGATGTTTGAGAACCTCTGTGTTGAACTTTTTAGTACAAAGTCTATCGAAACTATTTGTTATTTTATATTTAATCTATTAATAATGATAAACTATCTATACTATTATAATAAAGCGTAAACACACACTTCTTTGTTGCCTAACATGTCAGCAATTACAGCATATTTTTGAATAACTCTTTTATTAATAAAACGCCCTACACTAACGTCACGTTTTAGGCTATATATTTTTACGCCATTATTCTTAGGGAGTAAATATTTTGGATAAAAACTCTATCGTGGGAAAGAGACATAAACATAAGTTACTGCCAACATCAAGGAAGCAAGGTTGCCATCATGTCATGTCATTTTGACATTTGCAATTGATAATTTGACACATGTAAACAACAAAATAAAATTTTCATAATTTCATGCGGATGAAGTCGCATGGGAATAGCTAGTCTATTAATAATGATAAACTATATTATATAAATCATTACAAATTCAGTGGTTATAAATTATGATAGTAGGGTAATTATATTGAAGTAGATTTATAATCAGTAAGAATTTGTGTTATCAACATGAGTTCGTACTTAATCTATTATTATAAGTTATTTATCGAAATACTCATCTTAAGTATTTATCTTATTTACGTATTATTATATGTACGTATTAGAATATAACGTACTGACTAACGAGGTAGCAAATTCTTTTTGCAATTTTTTAATTCTTTGCTAAATAAACGTGGCATGCAATGACAAAGATAATGTATTGCAATTTAAAAAAACATTTCTCTTATTTTTTTACTCTTTAGAATACAAACTTTTTATGGTTTACTTAGAATATCCTACCAAAGTTTCACCAAAATCTCACCAGTAGATTAGGAATATCAAATGCAAGTTAAATTTTTGAAAATGTTCTTAGCGTACCATTGAAAGTTTAGTCACAAAAATAACAAAGTCTATAAATAAATTTCTTTTTAATTAAATCTTTGATTCAGGTAATTGTTAATGCAATCTGTAAATACAATATTTTTCTAATAATAAATTCAACTTAAACTCACTTTATCTCGGTTTGTACAAATATTCTCAACACAAGTTGTCACTCGAGCATCGCTCACACCGTACTGAGGAGGTCGGAATTTACATAATACTTATGTATATAATGTCCTATGTAGTTATACTAATAATTACTAATTATAGTAAAAATAAATTCAATGAAGATTAATAACGTATTCATTAAAACTAATTTAATCAGTTTTCAAGTATTGTTTCTGAATATTTGGTTTTGAAAATCGTGTTACGTTAATCATCTTTTTTTTTTAAATATTAATTATTTTATCTAGCTAAACTATTTTTTATCATAAACAAAAATAACTGCAATAATTTGATATCATGTTCATACATTTCCAGACAAGAATAGAAGCTTATTTTATTAACCTATTTGTAATATCCACAGGATAATTTCATATTTCGGGAAGATGTATTTGCGTTGCTAATAAAGGAAATCGCAATTAAATTGTTTTTGTCTATCTGTATGTTCGCAAGTCGCGTGTGTTCCGGATAATCTCCGAAACGGCTGGGCCGATTTCGACTTTCACTGAAGTGTAGCTGACATAGACGGGTATATTGTAGGCTACTTTTTATCTTAATATTGCGTGGACGAAGTCGCGGGCAACAGCTGTTACATAATTATTTAAATTTGTAACGATAATTGTTGAATATCCTTATCCTTTGTATGACCATACTATTACAAGTATAATAAGGAGTTGCGAAAATCAAGTATGTATTACTCAATGAAAGCTTTGAACTTTTAAATAATAAAGAACAGGTTTAAATTACGCGGAGTTCAAGTAAGTTGCATAATTCACTTGAGCTATAAAAGGTGGAAATAGCCGTCTCAAAGCAAGCATACAATCGTGGCAACCTGACGTCGCTTAAATAGTGAAATGACTATTGGCATGCCAATAGACTTCTGCACATTAGAAGAATGCAGATGCCTCTAGAAAAAGTACGATTTCCGTATCCTATAAATTCCCTTCCCTGATTAATCCTTTTAGAACTTAATACGGGATTGAAATTGGCTTTAGTATATTTTATGCATTTTTCGAGACAATAAAAATTGCCAAAAGCATACAATCTTTTTAAAGCTAAGTTATTAGTACAGTTTTATATCTGTAACATCTTATGCTTTAAATTTGTTTTTAACTTTTGATGACGCTACCTTTTTTTATAATATAAAGTGGCAAACGAGCAAGCGGCCACCGCAATCCATCAAAATGGAAAGCGACCGCTGCCCATAAACATCCTCATTTCCAGATGCGTAGCCTACCCTTAATTGACGGAGGAAACGCACATAAAGAGGATATTTCTCCCTCCTATGCGTCTCCTCCACCGTCAAATCCACTTTTCCTTCCCATCCTTTTCCCTTGAGAAAAGGGTGGAAAGGGAAAGGGACTAAAATTAGGCCTCCGACTATCTATAGTTAATGGCCTATACTATATTAACTTTTACTTACTGTTTAGCTTTGTAAGTAAATATTTATTAAATTTTCTTAATGGAAAAAGCCTTTAATTAGAACAACATTTGCTTTCACATTTTATTAAATATTGGGCTATTGCCCAGTGAAATTTGGGAACCACTAGCGTTAGCGTTTGTGGATACCGCGCACGTTTTCCTGTATCAACAATTTTGTCATTACGAAAATGTAAATTGCATCTTATTTTATGTCATTATTTACAATGACAGTGGCGACTTATCTAATATTTTTTTTCTGTATAAAAAATTATGATTGTCCTTACCACAGTATTCTAAAATGTGATCAATTAAACTTAGAGCGGACGCACACCTTTGACTAAACTATCGCACAACTGTTGTGCGATTGTCGATTGTTTCGCAGCCAATTCAACTGTTTAGCTGCACAATTAAAAACCGAGTAGTGCGCCATCTATTAACCTCATAGGAATCAAAGCGAAACTAAACAGTTATGCTATAATTAAGTTTCAGGTTTGCACGCTATTAACGTAAATACTTAGGGCCTGTCCCACCACCGGATAGAGGATAGCTTAAAAATGACATCACTGTCAGATAAGGTAACAAAATCCGATATTTCCATCATGTATTTTACACGTTGGATTGTTAACAGACAATTTACAATTTGTCGTTGTATGGACAGACCCTTATTGTTATGAATTTGTATGTTAAAATGGATGTTTGAACATTGTATGGAAGAACACATAAGTTTTTCAAATTCCGCGTGGACGCCGTCGGTCAAAGTTCACTTCTCTATAAATAAAAGACGCTAACACAATGTTTATTTCTCTCACGTTTACTTAAACGTTACTAGACGATCAGTGTGTTCGCAAAGTTGTTGTGGTTTGTGTTAATATCAAGACATGTTTTCTTTTGTTTATTTTTAAAAAACAGTTGAATATATTTCTCTGTTTTGTGAGGTTTACTTTTAATTTAGTGGAAGCGTTTGATATTTATGTTCCGTATGAATAAGTATCAAAAGGGGCATGCTAGGCAATCCGATTTAGAATTTAGTTTGTAAAGTGTAAATTGAAGAGTCTTCACGTGCAGGAATGTGTAAATCATTTGACAATATTTAACAAACTTATCTCGCAACGCAAAGGTACATTAGTTTATACATATACTAGCTTTTGCCCGTAACTGCGTCTACGTGGTATTAAAAATAAAATTGAGTAGCCTATGTGTTTTTCCAGGCTATCCTCCAAATCTTTGCGAAATTTCGTCGAGATCCGTTTAGCAGTTTAAACTACAATCATCCATCCATTTAAACTTTCGCATTTATAATACTAGTGAGATTAGTAAGATATAGTATTTCTCGTCTTTGAAAGACAACAGCGGATGTAATGGATGTTACAGATCGCCGATTGTTTTTGAATATCATCAATTCTTTTGATAACTTGTCGAGAATTTTCTCCCAGAATGGGAAGGTAAAGTGAGATTGTAAACTATCAAAGGTCACCTATTGATAATTTGACAATAATTCCTAATGAAAATTGTTTTTTTACCTTAATTCTTTTCTCTCCAACTTACTGTGTCAACGTTCACGTTCCTATGTACGCACGTCTATCAATTTATAGATTTTACAAGTTAAATATATGAACAATTTACTTTCCCTGCTTCACATGGAATCGAGATAGATTAAAAAATGTATTAAAATACTGTTTGATTTTACACTATTATTTGACACACCGCTTAACACAAGTTACACACGCGGACTGATTCCCTGTGCGTGAAACTCAGATTTTACCGTTCACTGACTGATTCACAATTCTTGTTTTGTATAAGTATTTAATGTAATTTTTTTCTAACTCTTCAATTATAGCTTTTTATTCTTAATCACGCTTATGTATAGGTACAATCTATACTATTATAATTAAGCGTAAACACACACTTCTTTGTTGCCTAAGATGTCAGCAATTACAGCATGTTTTTAATAATTCCTTATTTAATAAAAAGCCCTACACTTACGTTACGCTTTAGGCTATATATTTTAACACCATTAAACTTAGGGGGTAAATATTTTGGATAAAAACCCTAATGTGGGAAAGAGACAACATCAAGGAAACAAGGTTGTCATCATGTCATGTCATTTTGACATTTGTAATTGATAATTTGACAAATGTAAACAGTAAAATAAAATTTTCATAATTCCAAGCGGATGAGGCCGCACGGGGACAGCTAGTTATGGATAAGTATAGGTCAGAACATTATACTCGTACAATTTAAATAGGCGAACAGTTTTTTGTGACATATTATAATAATTATTATTTATGTATGTCAATTTAATTACGGATTACGTTTCTTAACTTAAAATTAACTTATGCTTCTAAAATTTTTAAACATTGTATGTAAAGTCAATTCCAGTTGGGTTAAATTATTTGTTCTTCAACCAGAAAGTCTTTATCATGTCCGCTCCTTTCTCACCTATCATAATAGTAGGAGCGTTAGTATTACCACTGACAACAGACGGCATGATACTTGCATCTACCACTCTGACACCGTCTACTTTACGAAGTCTCAGTTCAGGATCTACGACTGCTGTCTCATCGCCATCATGTCCCATTTTAGCTGTTCCCACTGGATGGTACAAGGAAAATGTCACTTCCCTAGCGTAACATTCTAAAAATTCATCTGATGTCTTGTCGAATCTTCTACACTCTTCCAAATCAAGCCATTCTAATTTAAAATTACCAACCTTAAACGCTTCTGTACTTTCTAACATTAAGCTAAATTTTCTTGCATTGTTCATCAGAACTTGAAGGTCTTCTGGCTCTTGAAAATAATTGGCATATATAAGAGGATGTTCGTTTGGATTTTTACTTTTAAGCAATATTCTACCCTTTGACTTAGGATTTAGTAATGCGTTTAATACAGCTACTATAAAGTTCTTGTCGTTTATATCTTTAAACTTTTGTGATACATCATCTTTTAATCCATGTAAACCAAAAATGTCGACGTAATTACTAGCTCGTGGTGAGTAGACTGAAAAATGATATTGTACTTCAGGACTTACTGCGTCAGGATCAGAGGCATTAAGAAAAGCAATAACTCTGCTAGGTGTGATATCCGAAAACTGGCCTTTATGAGTAAACATGTATTCTAAGAAGTTATTGCTTATATTCGAAAATGTCATTAGGGTTTGGTTAGTTGGAGAACTATAAAAAATTGGGAAATATGGATGATCATGTAAATTTTCACCAACCGGTAGATCAGCTATCACTTCAATATCCAAACTTTCTAAATGTTTTCTTGGACCAATACCCGACAGAAGAAGTAGTTGTGGAGTGTTAATAGATCCAGCTGATATTATTAACTCTTTTTTTGCAAAAACTTTTATTTCTTTCCCATCTTTTTGTATTAAAACTCCCTTCATTTTATTTGTGTTAGCATGAAAGAGAATCTTTGTAACATAGGCATTTTTTAATACGTGTAAATTTTTTCTGTCTTTAATTACACTTAGGAATGCCCTCGCTGTACTATGACGTACGCCGTCTTTGATGGTATTGTAAGATATGGTGGCTCCCATCTGTCTTGCGCCGTTTGCATCATCAATTACATTTACGCCAATTTCATTAAATCCATTTAATATCATTTCTTCCACTGGTTGCTTAATTTCATTTCTATTGACGTGTAAATAGCCCCCTTTTCCATGATATTTTATATTGTCTTCGGTTAAAACTGAAGAAAAGTTTTCACTTTTAATAAAATACGGCAACACTTCATCATAACTCCAACCTGTGTTACCGTTAGCTGCCCATCCATCGTAGTCTAATTTGTTTCCTCTAACGTAGTACAATGCATTAATACTGCTGCTGCCTCCTAAAGTCTTTCCGCGAGGCCAGGCGCACCGCTTTTGTTTATATCCTCTGCAAGCTAATTCTTGTGGTTGTGGTTTGTAGGCCCAATCCGCAACGCTGTTGATGTTATTGTAGAAAGCTGATGGAGTCTGAAAAACGCAAAGTTTTGTTCTATATTAAATTGCATGTTAAACGAATACTACAGAGGAAGTCTGGATAGTCGAAAACTCAAGTTATTCAAAACATGGAATAGTCTTCATTTAATTTATTAATTAGTTACATTAATTTTGTTTAAAGCATTAACCGGAGTTGACTTAAAAAATATACCTCTGTAGCCATGTTAGGGTTACCACCCGCTTCAATTAATAATATCTTCCATTCTGGTATCTCACTGAGCCGATTGGCGACTACCGCGCCTGCAGAACCCGCTCCCACCACTATGAAGTCGTAGTTAGGATCTGTGTTGATAAATAGAATTAAAAGAAGATTCTATGCATCGTAAATATTTTTCTAAACTCGGATGATAGACTGTGTCATAATAATTGATGTGTAATAGGGCCACAGAAACTAGCCATTCGAATAGACATTTTATAAATTGAACTATCATTAGAACAAGGTTGCCGGTGTTTTAAAGGCAACAGAATAGGTTACTTTGTAAGATTTAAAATACGGAGAAACATCTATAAGTAAGCATCATTTGGCTGAAACAATCAAATCAATTTGTTTACGAATTTGCTAATCTGTTTCGACGCCGCGAGTCAAGATTTCCTGCTCTCATGACAGTAGATCAATATAAAATAAGAATGTACCATGGATAACAGCTTCCTCGGCATCAGATGGCCATAGTTGATCACCCGACAAAGCACACTGCGCCGCCAGCAAACTTTGCAAGGTGTGAACGAACAGGGGCCCGACTGCGTTGTAACTGCTCACCACTCCTGAGGATAAGACCGGGTCGCACTCCCACATGCTGATAAAATCTGTCACAACATACATGAAAATTCTACTTTTAATGGTCTCATTTAATTTACTGGAGCTGCACAAGCGATGTGGCAATGGTGCAATGCCGCCGCCGATGACTTTCTTAGTCCATACTTTCATTCGATTTAAAATTAAATAAAAAGCAATGAAAATACTTACCGATATTGATTTTATCAGGCTATGACTTCGTTACCTTGGGATGACTGATTTTAAATATGTTAAATTGCACTGCACTTCAGAACTGCTAAATAATACTTTATCGATGATATCAGCGGGGCATTAAAAAATATCAAGTTATCGCGATTATCTATTTAAGATCTAAGATCTATAAATTTTACGGATTACGGAACATTCCGGTCAAATTGTTATAATCAATACATTGCCTTCTCTAAACAAAAATCAATAAAGCGGGGAATTTCGATGGCAACTTCTAGCTTGTAGCCAATACAAGAACTTTATATTCTTTGAAACGAGCGTTTTCTATAGTTAGATAACGCGTCTGTCGATCTAATGTGGATCTTTTATCATAGACAATGTTCTAACAGCAAGCGGTCAGGTGTGGGTTTGCCTCTTATCTGATAAAATAACCGACAGCATCCCGCATATTTAAACCTAAGTCAATATAACTCTAACAATACACTAATTACTACAATTAGAAAAAATACTTTTAGATTATGCACAACTATTTGAATTACATTTGACATCTTTAAAATGATGTCAAGGAAAATTTTAATCTATGTAAGCGTGATTCCATACGAACCAAGTTTTTGTCTAGATCTTGATTGGCTTATGAATGTAACGACCATCACGCATTAATTGACTACAAACTGTATAAGTAACTACATGAATTGTCTTGTAAACACGCCTACAGAGAATTGTTACTGATGTAAAGGCATATCAAACAAAAAGAGGAAGAATAAGCGGACACACATTGTATCCATAATTATAACCTTGTCTTAAGTCACTTCCTCAGCTGCTTAAATCAATTGTAGTCGCTGAGATAAGAACCTTTTAATGCAAAATAATTTAATTCTACCTTTACCCCACAATTTAACCTTCGTACTGAATGATTAGATTATTTCAGTATTATTATCATTTAATTTACATCCGCCTTTTTACCTAAACAAGGCTCCTAAATTTAATAGGGCTATATTAAATATATTAAGCTTAAACCCTTAGTAATTCTAACTTAATTTTTCTCCAACCAAAAATTCTTTATCATGACCGCTCCTTTCTCGCCTATCATAATAGTAGGAGCGTTAGTATTACCACTGACAATAGACGGCATGATACTTGCATCTATTACTCTGACGCCGTCTACTTTACGAAGTCTCAGTTCAGGATCTACGACTGCTGTTTCATCGCCATCAGGTCCCATTTTAGCTGTTCCCACAGGATGATACAAGGAAAATGTCACTTCCCTAGCGTAACATTCTAAAAATTCATCTGATGTCCTGTCGAATCTTCTACACTCTTCTAAATCAAGCCATTCTAATTTAAAATTACCAACCTTAAACGCTTCTGTACTTTCTAACATTAAGCTAAATTTCCTTGCATTCTTTATCAGAACTTGAAGGTCTTCTGGCTCTTGAAAATAATTGGCAAATATAAGAGGATGTTCGTTTGGATTTTTACTTTTAAGCAATATTCTACCCTTTGATTTTGGTTTCAGCAATGTATTCAAAATACCCACTAAAAAATTACTGTCATTTATATCTTGAAACGATTTCTGTATCTCATCTTTGAGACCATGCGAACCATATATGTCGAAGAAATTATTTAATCGAGGAGTATAAACTGGAAAATGATATTGTACTTCAGGACTTACTGCGTCGGGATCAGAGGCGTTGAGAAAAGCGATCACTCTACTAGGTGTGGTATCCGAGAGCATTCCTTTATTACTGAACATGTAATCTAAAAACCCTTCCCCGATTTTATCAAATGTCGTAAGACTTAGGTTAGTTGGTGAACTGTAATAAATTGGAAAAAATACATGATCTTGTAAATTTTCACCAACTTGTAGATCAGCTATCACTTCAATATCCAAACTTTCTAAATGTTTTCTTGGACCAATACCCGACAGAAGAAGTAGTTGTGGAGTGTTAATAGCTCCAGCTGATATTATTAACTCTTTTTTTGCAATGACTTGTATTTCTTTACCATCTTTTTCTATTAACACTCCTTTCATTTTATTTGTACTAGGATGAAACAAGATCTTTGTAGCGTAGGCATATTTTAATACATGTAAATTTTGCCTATCTTTAATAACACTTAAAAATGCCCTCGCAGTGCTATAACGTACGCCGTCTTTGATAGTGTTATAAGATATGGTGGCTCCTATCTGATTTGCGCCGTTTGCATCATCTATTTCTTTTACACCGATTTCATTGAATCCATTCAATATCATTTCTTCTATTGGATGCCTAAATTCTTTCCTATTGACGTGTAAATAACCACCCTTTCCATGAAACATTTTCCGTTCTTCTGTTAAAATTGTAGAAATGTTCTCACTTTTGATGAAATATGGCAACACTTCTTCATAACTCCAACCTGTGTTACCATTAGCTGCCCATTCGTCGTAGTCTAATTTATTTCCTCTAACGTAGTACATAGCATTGATACTGCTGCTACCTCCTAAAGTTTTTCCGCGAGGCCAGGCGCACCGGTTATGTTTATATCCTTTACAGGCTGATTCTTGTGGTTGTGGTTTGTATGCCCAATCTGCAACACTGTTGATGTTATTGCATATGGCGGCTGGTATCTGAAATACGTAGTAATTGTACTATTTCTTAATGTAATTTAGTAATATATCTTTCAATAATTAATGTGAAATAAAGGTTCTATTGGTGGCTGATATCATTCTATATTTAAAGACCGCTTGCATCGTTACACTTAAAATGACCTCGTACTTCAGATACATACCTCTGTGGCCAGATTTGGATTCCCACCTGCTTCTATTAGTAATATCTTCCATTCTGGTATCTCACTGAGCCGATTGGCGACTACTGCGCCTGCTGATCCCGCTCCCACCACAACGAAATCATAGTTGGGATCTAAACCGGTAAAATTCGTACAATTAAACGAAATTATTACGACTGGTAAAGTGAAACATGGCTCATAGCTACCATTAAGAACCGCTTCTGCAGCATCAGGTGGCCATACTTGATCTCCCACCAATGCACACTGTGCTGCCAGTAAACTCTTCAGGGTCTGCACGAACAGGGGCCCAACTGCTTGGTAGCTGTTTACCACTTCTGTGGCTAAGATCGGATCGCACGCCCACATCACACAACCTGTCATAAACAACCCCATACACAATCATAATTCACGGCTTCTTTACTTTAAATAGATCAATGAACTAGATAAATCTTACATGTAAGTCTTGAAGCTTTATTATTTCTTAAAATTTATAAACAAATTGATGTTTGCAAAAATACTCACAATTCCATTAAAAGACTACGGCTTGTCGCGTTCGGTTGATCTTAATATAAAATATGGTAAATTGCACCGCATTTAAGAGTCACGTAATGATGTATTATTATAAGATTTAACGATGCATAAAATACTCAAGTTATTTATTAAATGGACATTTCGTCTTTGTTGCTTTATAACTATAGATAAATTAATTCGAAAAACTGTAGGTAGTGGGACATTGCCTTCTCTTGTATTAGCATTCAATACAAGTTAGGGTCCTTAATAAAAGTATTTCTCTAGTATCAAATGTAGCTCAGACATTATGTCATCTTACTAAGTGTAAAAGAACAAACATCAATTATAAGAAAACTGCAAATCTGAGAATTACACTGTTTTTGTCAATTTGTACTTCTACTTAACTAAACTCAAGAAATAAAAATACCAAAAACACAGTATTTATTATCTATTACTCAGTTTCAAGACAAAGAAACTTAACAAATAATACGATATCTTTATTGTATGCGGAATAATTATATTTTTATTAAATTAATTCGGCTTCAAATATCCTAGATTGTTACTTTATATTTCATTCCATCATAATACAACCAAATTTTACATTCTTTCCGTCCTTTAGGTGATATCACTTCTTCAGTCTTGAAATATATTTTCTTTTTATTTTCATTTGATCCTTGTTGGACGTTTTGATGTTTAAATACATTGTAGAAAGATTTCTGATCTCTTGGTCGGTAATTTCTTTGTTTGAAAGGTCTTCTTGCATAATATGGACGGATTTTGGCTCGTTCGGTAAGTTCGGTAAATGGACTAATAGGGGAAGGAACTGGATGTTTCAATATGTTTGTATTTCCAAACGGATTAGGTTTAAAAGCGTATTGTGGGATGTTACTAGAATATGATTGTAATATCTTTGGATTTATTTGATCATAAGTATTTGTAACATCAGAATTATGATATCGGTTAATGGAATTATATGAATTAGGGAGTAATGTTTCTTTCCTAACGTTGTTTAAAGTTAGGAGGGTTGTGTTTGATCTTTGATTCTTCGTGTTTGTAGGAAGGAAGCCTTTAGATAGTTGGGGAAATAGACTAGATGTTTCGTTAAGAATATCTGGAGTTCCGAGTTGGTGAAATCTAATCCTCTTTGGTAAATCGTTCTTTGTTGCCTCTTCGTTTTGTTTGTATTTGCGTTCGCAAGGAATGATGTCGATACCTTGCATCCAATCTTCTTTAATCATATCTGCTGCCTTTTCTGCAATCATAATGATGGGAGCATTTGTATTGCCGCTGACGATTGTAGGCATGATACTACCGTCGACTACTCTTAGGCCTTTGACTCCGTATACCTGAAATTGTTTAAAATGTACTCTTTAATATTTATTCATAAAACTAACCAAACATGTCTACAGATGTATCTCTATGTTCCAGTATAGCTAACATTTGTCGACCGATTTGTCTTGTTTCGAAAAACAATCGAAATAATCTAAGAATCAGGACAAATGCGATGACTTTTAGATAATTATTTTTTTAATTCAGTTTTATCTGGAATCAGTTTGTAAAACTATAAGCAAATGTGAGGAACGATTAATTTTTCAGAATGTTTTCTCTATCGCGAAACTTCTTTTAAAGAGGACCATAACGGATCTTATTTGTTTCATAATCGTGGTCCTTTTGAGTCTCCTGAGAGACATTTGGGTAAGATTGCAACCAAGGGATTGTGGTGGTCTACAATTCTGGTTTTATAGCGCTCAGCTATTTCAGATAATGATAATAATTGTTATACGTACTCGTAATCTTGGATCAACAACAGCATTAGGGTTGACAGCACTGCCCATCGCGCAGGTCCCAACTGGATGGTAGATGGTGAGTGTGTGATGTCTCGCCTGGCACTCTAGATGTTCATCTGACATAAGCTCGTGTTGGGCACAGCCCGGGTTCCGGTGCGGATTGGGCCGCGCGTTGAGTGTCTGTAAGGCTGGCTGTTGTACTAATGCTTGGACTATACGAGCACCTTCTATCTGTAATAGCAACATATTTTAAATGAATAATAACTATTAATTTTTATAAGTTTGTTTTATAGAGTTAGGAATAAAAGTATATGTATGCACTAGATGTAATTATTATACTGGGTTGTTGATGCCTTATTTGTAAGTCAAATGCATTTATTTTGGCCTGCATAATAGATGTCAGTTATTTTATTTAGATTTATCTACTCTTGTTACGGTATGTTATAACACTGTATATAGTGACTTTTACAAATTCACACTTTGTAGGACATGCGCTAGTGAATTTATTTTATTTGTTAAATAAATTACTTCATAATAAGGAATTTCTTTTTTTCATTTAACTGGAATATGTCTTCTAAGGGAATAATGCTTTCAATACTTACTAATATTTTTAAATCCTGTGGATCCTCGAAATAGTTCGCATATATCCGAGGGGGCGAGAAAGGATTACTGTCCTTTAATTTTATATAACCTCTACTTTTAGGTCTGAGTAAAAGTGGAACTATAGAAAATGACGATTCAAACAAAACATCCTCGTATAGTTCGGCGTAAGTTTCATCTGTCAATCCATTAGCTCGTTTTCCAAATAGTCCACCGTCCATATTATCTGCTGTGGGGGCTATGAATAGTTGAATGTCAGGATAGTCCTCCGCGGGATCCTGGTACTTCGTGTTGACAAATGCCATTGCTTCTGCCTCCATCATGCTATATAAAGAACCTTTTTTATTAACTACAAAATCGATAAGATTGCCAACAGACCAAACTGAGTTTAAATTAAAGCAGTAATCCGTTCCGTTATTGTATGGATTGTCGAATAAGAAAGAATGACCACCTATCGCTACGTGATCTTGAAGATTCTTACCCACTCCAGGGAGATCTACAATAGGGTATATACCGACTTCCTTCAAATGTTCTCTATCACCGATACCAGATAACATCAACAGTTGTGGAGATTGAATTGATCCAGCTGAAAGAAGTACCTCTCTACTGGCTTTGATTATTTTCGTTTGTTCGTGCTTCACAAATTTCACACCGTATGCTCTTCTGTTTTCATCGATAAGTATTTTTTCCACTAAAGAGTGAACACTGATATGAAGGTTAAGCCTTTTTGAAACGGGTCTTAGGTAACCTTTGGCCGTACTACATCGTAGACCGTCACGTAATGTTGCGTGGGAACGTGTAAAACCGGTTTGAGATGGTCCATTAGCATCCATTATCTGATATCCTAATTGCTGGGAAGCTTCTAATATTTTCCGTGTTATAGGTTGTTCATATGCAAAATGTTCTACAGATATAGGACCACCTACTCCGTGATATGGATTATTTCGAAATTCTGGTATCCTCATATCTTCTGCTTTCAAGAAATATTGTAGAATTTCATCGTAAGACCAGCCGGTGTTGCCCATATTGGCCCAATTGTCGTAGTCACGTTTGTTACCTCTTATGTACAGCATTGCGTTTAGTGTACTGGAACCACCAAGCACTCTCCCTCTTGGCCATTTGCATCTTGTGTCAATCATGCTTAAACAATATTTGTCACTTGGTTCCGTCACGAACTGCCAATCGATAGCTGATGTCTGTAAAGCGGGGAATAATGCTGGCACATCAGCGAGAACGTTTTCATCCTGCCCTGCTTCAAGTAGAAGTATATTCCAATCTGAATTTTCTGATAGACGATTTGCAAGCACTGCACCCGCTGATCCCGCACCAATTATAATAAAATCATAGCAGTCGTAAAGATTTTCGAACGGATAATCTCTGACTCGATGTTCTGCGTCATCTATATCTGGTCTATACAAATGTATAGCCATTCGGAGTAAAATCATGGCTCCGAGGCCAGGTAGAAGACCGAATAATATTCTAGTACTAGACACAGCTGTTTTTATGGAATATTGAGTGTGGGAGGACATGTTTCCAAACGTACTACGTCCAAATGAATCATTTTGCATTTCGTATGTCAGTATTGAATGACATTTGATTCAGCAGATTTCTACGGTGTAGCAAGTTATTGTTTGCTTCAGGTCAAGTTATACTTTTGTACAGAGTAATGAATTATAATTTTTATTATTTATAAATAGTTTTTGCTCGCGACTTCGTCCGCATGGAATTCATAAATTAGTAAGAAAGCCTATGTTACCCAGTGATTGCGTCACTTTGTAATGGTGATATTTTTTTAATCGGCCCAGTAGTTTTTGAGTTATTTCAATACATACCAAAATACAAATCTTTCGTTGAAATATGGCTTTTAGACATTACAAATGAAGCAAAGTTTACCTGACAGTTATATATTTTGGGTACGAAAAATTTACTCTTTTCTAATTTTACTAAATGTGCGGTTTTAAATCGGTGACTTCTCTGTTTCGCATTACTCTATGCTATTGTTATTAATTGGGTATAAAATTGAATTCATTTTTACATGACGCACGTAGCCACTGCACACATGTGTATCTATATGTGAAAGAAACATATTTTTTTATCATTTATTGGGTAAAGGATGCATTTTACAACAAAACCTTAACTAATTTCACAACAATAAATAACTTAATCTATTAAATAAATTATTTACATCGATTATTACATAATACTGTTGAATACTGATTTACATATCTTATGCATCAGGCGTAATATCTAGATATTCTTCTACGAAGCCAGAACTGCTTTATCATATCGCTACCTTTCTCTCCGATCATAATGATGGGAGCATTTGTATTACCACTGACTAATGACGGCATTATACTCCCATCTATAACGCGTAAGCCTTTTACCCCGTACACTCTTAGCTCGTGGTCTACCACTGCTTCAGGGTCCCAATAAGGTCCCATTTTAGCAGTACCCACTGGATGATATATCGTACAAGTGTACTGCCTTATCATACATTCCCAGTATTCGTCACTATATCTTTGTAAATCCGCACATGCAGGAAACACGTGTTTGTTCAATACCGATCCATGTCTTTGAAACGCTTTGGTTCTAGATAAGGCGACAGCGATCTTAACGCCCTCTATCAATGTTTTAACATCTCCATCATCAGTCAAATAGTTTGGGTAGATATAAGGATAGTCGTACGGGCTTGAGCTTCGTAATTGTATGAATCCTTTACTCTTTGGTCGTAACAGCATAGGGATTATGCTCCACACGTCCATGTTGTTTATCGGACGGAATACTGCGTCATAGAATTCATCAGTGAGGCCGTGAACTTTACGTAACTGCTCCCCGCCATCAGAGTTTGTGGAACCTGATATGAAATGGAATTCTATATCAGGGAAATCGTCTGACGCGTTCGCATACTTTGTATTAACGAAAGCTAAGCCTTCTACACCACCCATTATAGTCAAAGGTCCTTTACCTAAGACAGCATACTCCATTAATGTGCTGACTGTGTGTAGACGATGTTCTACTATAGATATTTTCTTATTGACCATAAATGTTAAACCGCCTGCACCGATATGATCTTGTAAATTTCTTCCAACTCTCAGATTTTGTATAATAGGAATCCTATGCTTTTTTAATTCCTCCGCCGGACCGATACCAGATAACATTAGTAATTGTGCAGAGTTTATTGTCCCGGCTGATAAAATGACCTCCTTGCGAGCTCTGACACGATGTACCATTTTATTACGAACAAATTCAACACCGAAGGCTATCTTAGTTCGTGGATCTATGAGAACCTTTGTCACAAATGAATGCATCGCTATGTGCAAATTGTTACGGTCCTTTGCAGGTCGGAGAAAAGCTTTTGCTGTGGAACATCGGCTTCCGCGACGGACTGTCCCTTGGGCCACCATAAAGCCCGTTTGGTTCTCACCGTTGATGTCTCTATTTAAATATCCCATTTCTAAACCACCTTCTATGAAACTAGATACTAGTGGCGTGTGATAAGGCGCCTCGGCGACTGTCAAATACCCTCCTGTACTATGATAGGGCGTTTGGGTCAAGTAAGGGTTTTGATTGTCCTCGGATTTCTTGAAGTAATACAATACGTCCTTGTAACTCCATCCTTTGTTTCCCATAGCCTCCCAATTGTCGTAGTCTTTTCTATTACCTCGTAGATACAGCATGTAGTTTAGTACTGAACTGCCTCCTAAGACCTTTCCGCGCGGCCAATTGCACCTCCCGTCCTCCATTGCTGTAAAAAAATGAAGACCTTGGTTACTTTGTCTCTAGTTTTAGCTCAAAATCCGAAAAAAAAATGAAATGGGTTGTGAGTAATGTCATTTAAATACTCGTACCTAAGCAAGAGGTTCCTTGGGGTTCAGTTTTATACTTCCAATCTAATTTACTGAGCTGCAAATATCCCGCAAGGAGCGGTACATCCGATATCTCCGTCTCATCTCCACCGGCTTCTAATAAAAGGACTTTCCAGTGACCGATTTCGGAAAGTCTGTTTGCGAGTACAGCACCTGCGATATAGAAAAAGTAGTCTTATATTTTAACCACCATCAATATTAAGCCTCCACTTAAAGACATCTCCAATTGTTTTATTAGTATGTGTTTGAGATGTTGCTTTGAATAAATTAAACTTTTTTGCGTATAACACGTTTATTTCGGCCACTTTACAATGATAGGTGAAGGGACGATAGTGTCGACAGCGGGTGAAGAACGGAAGCGAAAGAGAGAGAAGAACACGCGTCATCGTCTTATATACCCCGTCATGGATGCCAGGATTGGCCTGCCGGTCTAATTTTAATTAGTGATTTAGCGTATGACGTCGACCGACAGACCAATCGTACATCGACGACGGGGTGCAGCAGCGCAGCGGGAGCCACCGGGGGTCGCCGACGTGTGACAGCGGCACAGGTGGGGCGGCTGCTGACGTCACGGCCGCAACAGTATGATTGGCGACTTCATTTATATTCATAAAAGAATGTCATGGCATTTGTTAAGATATCGCTTTTAATTCTTATTAATTAAATACTTACTGACCGGCAGACCCTGCTCCCACGATTATGAAGTCATATTCTGGCAGCAAGTGATCGCTCACGTCAGCCGGCCTGCCCTCAGGGTCTGTCTGGTCATATTGGTAGTATGCTACTGCTGCCACCAGCATTGGAATGAACCACGCCACCTGGAGATTAAATTAGGAGGATTATTTACATGGAGTGTTTTGAAGATTATAGACATTGTCTACTATTCCTCTTGTGACGTAAAGTGCTATTCAGGTTTATTTAACTGTCACAAAGGGAATCAATACGAATCAATTGTAAAGCTGCACTAATGCAGAGGCATCAACTTTTTATGTGAATTTACTTATGTTTGATTTATTTTTGTTGGATGAGAGATGTCTCGTTCTATGATTGCTCAGTTATTGTGGATTATTAGAGCCTTTAATTGAACTATCGCACAACTGTTTAGTCGTGCTTTGATTCCTATGAGCTTGTGTATATGCGCACACTACTAATAAACAGTTGAATTGACTGCGAAACAATTGACAATCGACAATTGTGCGACAGTTTAGTCAAAGGTGTCCATCCACTCTTAAGATTTATTACTGTTATAATTTACCTCAGTGCCAGCGGCAGCAATGGCAGAGCCGGTGATCACGTCAGCAGCCGCGTTCATTATCGCACTCATGTTCGCTCTGAAACAGTCGAGGACGTTTATTTCCTACCCACTTGGACACAATACAAATTTACGCACAAAATGAAATCAAATGAATAATTAGAATATGTTTTTATCTCTTTAAACTTTTTGTTTGTTAATCTTTTGTATTTTTGTTGTGAAAAATAAAAGATTCTACAAATTATTGACTTATTTAAATAGTTGTACGTAATTTCGTATCTTGTTCTGTAACATACACCGCAGTCAAGTTCACCGCTAGTTGATATTAGGGGCAGTGAGGCACGTCCACATAACGGTCTGTCCCACTTGTTAAAGGATCATTCACTTTAAGACACAAAAAGCATCCTCAAAATGTGGAAGCAATTATATTAGCTGAATGATTTTGTGTAATTATTAGTGACAAAGACTATAAGTGAGTGAACTGGTGAGTAATATTAAATCACTCTTAGATATAAACAAAATATATTATAATGTGTTTAAGTAATATAATTTTATTATTATTCAATATTGAAGAGAAACATTCACGGCCATATTCTGAAACGAATCTGAAACTGAGACTGAACACTTCGCTTTGCAAAGCGCCGTTTGCAATCTGACAAACGTCAAAATGTTATTTATTTATTAATTTTAATGAAGTTTAGGGTTTGTTCATTGCTTTGTTTAAGATGGTGTTACATATTTAATGTCTTTTCAGTATTCAACCTTTTCTTTCCCTGTGTTATTCGACTTTTTTAATGGAAGCATCTAGAAAGTTTAGAATTATTAAGGTTATCTTTGTGAACAGTTTGTAAATATGAATGCAGTTTCACTAAATGATAAATGCTTTTCTCAAGTTCCATGATTTGTTAGAAAGTGAATTCGCTTCACTGCATATCACAATATCTTACGGTGTTCGTGCGCGATCCAGAATATTAAACGGTTCCGGTGAAATTAACTAGTGTTATATAACGTTGAATCATGCGTTTACAAAACCTTAATTAAAAGGTACAGTTATGTAACAAGTATCCCCTTTTTAAATTTCCCCTTTCTAAATTATATTAAAACGAATAATACCCGGTTTCCAAGCTACGTTTAACCTTTCATTAATTTGGTTCGATAATTTCATGAAAGTTTCCGAACGTAACATGAGTTTTACTCCAATGAAACTTATGTCACCACTAATGAATCATTAGATAACGATAAAATAAATGGAAACTTCAGAAACCCGGTATAATACGAACTGATGAAGTATGTACAATGTATGTAGGTTTATATCTTTAAGTGAAGATTAATAGACTCTGAGTGAGGCGGTATACAATTTATTTCTAAAATTGTTCCTTTGTACAAAATGTTTGCTCTGTTAATTTAAATCGTCTGTGTTTTGATTGTGAATGTCGATTTAAAAAGTTTGTATTAATTGTGTTATGAAAATACATAGATATGTTAAGACAAATGCTTTAAAAAAATTATAAAGAATTTTATAGTTAATTATAACTGAACTATTAGCGTCTGTCCCACTACTGGCTGATAAAGGCTCAGATAGCTTAAAAATGACTTCACCGTCGGATAAAGTAACAAAATCTGTATTTTCAACACATATTTTACACGTCGGATTGTTATCAGACAATTTATAAAGAATATGACAATATATTTAGTTACATGTTGTCATATTCTTTTTTGATTTCTGTGCATAACTTGTTTTTATCTTCTTCATTATCAGTTTGTATTGTATTTTAACTATGTTTTATAATATTATATATTATCACATAGATATAGTATCACATTAGATTTATTCTGTCAAGAGTTAAATAAAATAAAAAAATTGGTAGGACGGCCATTAACACTTATGTTTTTGTAAAACTACATAGATTTATTAAGTAGAAAGGAAATTTACCGCTAAAAACAAACTTCACATAATAAAACACAGATAGTCGACATTCACTTCCAGTCGAGTTGATGAATATAACATTGTTAACACTTTCACTGCTGATCTAAATCTATACAGTAACAATTCTAACACTACACATGCTGTGAACACTTTTTAAGACACTTTACTCAATGTACATTCTAGAATCGACAGGTTTGAGAATAGTTTTGTCAACGAGCACTTTCTTCGACGGACTGATTGCGACTACGTAGGCTGAGGAAATGGTGGGAGAATCCTTTCTTGTTTTTTGGAGTTAAGCGTGACGGAGGTCAGGAATGCCAGTTTGTGCGTCATTTTGACCTCCTTTAGATTTATGGGAATGTATAGTTTTAAATTAGGACAGTGAATTTGGTAACAATGTTTTCTTTTTATTAGGAATTCATTTTTAATGTAAAGAAATCAATGTTGAATTACTAAATGCATACTAAAAGATTCCTAATATGACTTACCACAAGGGTCGGCGTCACGGTAGGGCGTCCGCCCAGGGCGCTGTACAGAAAAGGGCGACACATGTTTGCCCCTAACCCCCGCCTTACCTGCAAGTTTGTGTGATCACACAATAATGCATACATGTATATTTTCAAAAAATGTCATTTCTATTTTCCGTAAGAATAAGAAAGAGACGGCAATATGTATTTGTGAAGATGTGTCGGCAGTGTAAACTTACGTTAATGGATTCTTTGAACGTGAGTGCGGTCGTATTTGTCATAGTTTATTTGCATTTCTATATTTCGAATCTTTTTAATAGAAATACTTTTAAAGAAAGCGGTCTTGAGTCTCGCAATTTATTTCTATTTAAGTAATTTCAAGAGAAAGTAAATAGAGAGAGAATAAGTAAAAGAGTTTTTTTTCTTTATTGGAACTTAACTATATTGAAGTTTAAAGTAATGTTTACTAGAATAAGAAGGAATGTATAATATAAGGTGGCAAACGAGCAAGTGGCCACCTGAATCCACCGAAATTTAAACCGACCGCTGCCCATAAACATTCGCAATTGCAGATGCGTTGCCTACCCTTCATTGACGGAGGAGGACACGCACATAAAGAGGACATTTCACCTTGCTATGTATCTCCTCCACCATCAAATCCACTTTACCTTCCCATCCTTTCCTCATAAGAAAAGGATGGAAAGGGAAAGGGACTAAAATTAGGCCTCCGGCACCACACTCATTAGACGAAACGCGGAATTGCTTTCTGTCTGCCTGTCTTCTACGTGGTCGTGGTATTACACCGGGCGAGCTGACTCCTTGCGAAGATGTTAAAGCGGTCTCTACCACTGTAATATGTTCAGTCATACATCTTTTTTCATTGATTTGTATAATTTTTATACCTTCCCCTTATTTAATATATATTAAGTTGTAAACTCTGTCACACTGTTTATATGAGGCGTATTTATTTTATTATATCACTTATAATAAACACAGACTTGAAAGGGAAAGTGCAGTCAGTGCATTGAGAAACAGAACCTGTCAAGTAACATTAAACCACTCTCGCAGAGTTTGTTGCCCTTTGTACTATAATATTTATACTAAAATGATGAATTTACTAAAATATTTCATTTCAATCTCTACATTCTTTTTATTAGAAAATATGATTTGTTGTAGTATTTTTTTAACGGTTAAATTAGTATATGACGACTTGTATATGTCCCGACTTATCTCCATTTATGGGCGTCGCCAGGTGGTAAGAGAGCTCACCTCTAGACCTGGCCTAGATCATTGGCTAATGTTGCCCATGTCTACTAAACAAAAATATGTGCTTAGGTAATTTGAATGTTTTTCTTGGTAAATGACGTCAATAGCGTTTGTGTTGGTTTCAAATTTCATTCAAGGTATTGTTCCCGACTTATGTAATAGGTAAAGAATTGTTGTGGTAATATTTGATTATACTTTTAATATTATAAATGCGATTTGTATGTTTGAATTGATGTTTCTTAAAAGGTATCTCCAAATGTGTCAACTGAATTTGCTGTAAAGCATACAAGAACACAGCCTGGAGGAACACATAGGCTACTTAAGTTTAATATTAATTCAACGTCGCCAAACAAATTCGCGCCAACGTCGCGGACGGCATCTAGTCTATTTAAATGCATTTTAATTTCTGTTATTACGTAGATTACTACTAAGTTAATACTTAAGGTAAAGGGGGCGAACGTAAGTTTTGAACTTTTAAACTCCACGCGGACGAAGTCGTAGGCAACATCTAGTCTATTTTAAAGTTTTAGTAGTTATGTATATTAATGTTTTTGTGTTTGTTCTCAGGTGGCTGTTTCGGTTCGACACAAAAGCGGACCATTGTCGGCGGGTATGCCTGGGCTTGGTGGCTGGTTACTGATGTACAACGAATTTCTCTTGAGGTAAATCTTCGGGTTATAATTAATTCTTGAGTTGATATGTCAAGCAGAACATAACATGAATATTCAACACAAAGTGATGTATACTTAAGTATTGTAAGTACACTACTTAATATATATCTCTCAATCTAACCCTTCACGTGATAGACGATTTTAAAGACCACGTTAATACTAGCCAATATAACTCCATCGATAAGATTTTATGATTTCCTTCTTGTGTTATCTTAAAATTAATTTCTGCCAGGTGATGACCCTGAATCCCATGTGTGAATACGTGGAGACCGCTCAAGGTGTCCCACTTACTGTCACCGGAGTCGCGCAGTGCAAGATCATGAACGAAGACGAGCTACTCACCACCGCCTGCGAGCAGTTCCTCGGCAAGTCTGTTAAGGAGATCAAAATGACCGTCCTGCATACCCTGGAAGGGCATTTGAGAGCTATACTAGGTAAGTGAACGAACTACTATTTAAAATACCGCCATCTAGTGGTGAATTACAACACTTTTAAGATGCACTTTGTAGTAAACTTCTCTGTTACTAGATGTCGCTTTTTCAAACCGTGATTTGATAAGTTTTTAATTTTTAAAACTAACACAAAATATTCTACTTGTAATGATAATATACAATTACAAATAGAGGTTTTGTGATAGATTATTACTTTTATAAATTGACCTATAATTATTAAACCTTAGAGGAAGCGGAAGTGTCATTGTGCCCTTTGATTTCAAACATTTTACTTTGACACATAAAAACCTTGATGAGCTCGGAAGTTAGATTATATGGTGATTGTTATTTAGAAAGTAAAATAACAAATTTACAATACAAGGAGTATGAAAGATACACAAAAAGGAGATAAAACACTTATTATGAGAAATGTAGTAATTCACGGACAATCGATTTCCCATCAAACTAGTAAATCAATCTGTAATTTAAATTTAATGTCGTCAGTACTCTCAAATTACAAACTGTAATTCTGTGTTTAATCTATGTTTGGAGCGGGCGCACACCTTTGACTAAACTATCGCACAACTGTTCCGATTTTCTTTTGTTTCACAGCCAATTCAACTGCTTAGTTCAATCTCATAATGATCTCATAGGAATCATAGCGAGATTAAAAGGTTGTGTGATCAAATCGACTACTGACATACAAACGCCAAAATACATTACTTTCAAAGTTCAAAGTCTGTCTTCCAAAATACTTATGATACACAATTCCTCCATTAAACAATTCCTCTCAAAGTGCTATTATGTTGGTAATTTTCCCGAGCGGATCTTTCGTAACAAAGAGGCCTACTTTCTGTCAATGTCTCGTCAACATAAAACGTTAAAGACAAGAATTGATTGCTTCCTTTCACAGTTTAATACTCCTTATTAACTCAGGTGAGGCAATTAGCTCTGCGATTGTCTCTTGTCCTGGATTTTGTTTCTGTTATATGAAATTTTGATTTTGTTATATGAAAACCTCATTTAATAGTTTTTTCTAGAAGACAAAAGTAAGCATATGTGTTCTTCCAGACTATACAGTACTCCTATACATTTCATCGAGATCCGTCCAGCAGTTTAGGCTACAAACTCTAAAACATCTATCTAAACTTTCACATTTATATTATAAGTACGATTATTTAAGAGGTTTATCTATACTATTATAATAAAGCGTAAACACACACTTCTTCGTTGCCTAAGATGTCAGCAATTACAGCATATTTTTGAATAATTCTTTTTTTAATAAAAAGCCCTACACGCTTTAGGCTATGTATTTTCACGCCATTAAACTTAGGGGGTAAATATTTTGGAAAAAAACACCAATGTGGGAAAGAGACCATAAGTTGCTGCCAACATCAAGGAAGCAAGATTTCCATAGTAAGGTAATTGGTATTTCGACATTTGCAATTGAAAATTTGACAAATGCAAACAATAAATTTATAAGTTCATGCGGATGAAGCCGCACGCGAACAGCTAGTAATATAATAAAAATAGACATATTTTTGTATCAGTATTGAACCCGTGTAAAGCTGGGAGGGTCGCTAGTAATCTTATAATATTAAAATGCGTAGCAAGAGTTTATTAATTACAAAAATTCAATTTAAGCAAGCCCTCTTAGTATGTTAACGAGTTTCTTTTTTGATTATAGTGTTATTTATGATTGACTGCGACCTAAATTGTAATCACTGCCGACAGAGGTCGCACTTGACCGCCCCTAGTAGGTCGATGATCCACTTCACAATGTTTCTTACCTTTAACTCAAGTTCAAATATGTTTGTATTTTTTTTATTTCGCTCTTACGTCTGTATCTTCTCGTGTAATAATATTAGAGGGTCTCTGTTATATAAAAAAAAAAAAAAACAAATTTTCCGAAGATGTATTTGCGAATTGTCTTTTTTGTCTGTCCGCAAGCCCTGTTTGTTCCGGGTAATTTCCTGAACGGATGTACTGTTTTGAAGGGATTTTGACGGGAATGTAGGTTATGCACGCGGGAATGTTATAGATGACCATTTTTTTTAAAGTGGGTGACAGCTCAAAATATTAGACGTGAACTATGACTCTATTATGGTAGCCTATTTTAAGATTTATTATCTAAGTTAATGATAACTCATTACTGCTCTAGGTAGGTATTAAACAGCAATTAAGTTACGAAGGTACCATTTCAATTTAATGTTACTTTTTAATTACAATGAGATGATGAAGGACGATCTGTTTTTATAGGTGTTTTACACGATTATATTACGTCACACAAAATGTTTTTCTTTTGTTTCTAAGTTACTTTTGTATTCTACAGTATGATTTATTGTAACGCTTGAAACGGAAAGAAAAAACCCCCGCTATATTACGAAATATGGTACTAAATCCTGTGCCTATGTTAAAAAATGATTTAGCCGTTTGTGTTTAAACTTTTTTGTATGTAATATGAATAATATGAATTACTTGCCCGCGACTCCGTTTGCGTAAAATTTAAAATAATAATAAAGAGATGAAAAAATAAAGCCTATGTTACTCACAGATAAATAACCTTTCTAACGGTGAAAGAATTTTTAAAATCGGCCCAGTAGTTTTTGAGCCTATCCATTACAAACAAAGTTTTTCTCTTTATTATTAGTATAGATAAAACGTATGAAATGTAAACTAAATATACCAGAATAATGTATATAGAATGTTATGGGTCGATTATTAGTGCGTTTACCTTAATATTTTTAACACTTAAAATGATTATCACAAGTGTACGAAGTACTATGAATAAATAGTCATCGTATAACGTATGCAATAACAAATGTATGTTGAAATAGTGGACGATATTGGTTACAAATTACAATCTGTGAGTCATAGTGAAACTAAAAAGCCCTTGGCCCGTTTACTTCATGGTAAATGTAAAGCAAACAAAGACATGTCCTTTATTTAGTACCTGCTGTGGACTTACATGGTATAATAGTACATCATACTTCATACTAATATTATAAATGCGAAAGTTTAGATGAATAAATGTTTGTTAGAGTTTGTAGCCTAAACTGCTGAACGGATTTCGATGAAATGTGGTATAGATGTAGAGGATAGTCTGGAAGAACACATAGGCTACTCACTTTTGTTTTTTTTTTAATTCCACGCTGATGGAGTCGCGGGCGAAATCTGGTGAACATTTTACTAGTTTTCGCCAGCGACTTCGTCCGCTTCGATTTTTTTTAAAAAGTAAGTGTTACATGTGTTCCTCCAGACTATCCTCTACATCTGTGCCAAATTTTATTGTGATTTCGGCTGTTTAGACTACGAACTCCAATCCTTCCATCTAAACTTTCGTATTAAGATTTTCACCTTTAATACTGCTGTGATCCCTTCTAAGTTAAGTTTACACTATCCCGTTGTTTGTTTAGGTAAAACTAATAGAATATAACGTAGGGCGATCGTGCGTCATTCGAAAGGGATGTAAGCTTCCTGCCATATGCGTTTTGTATGCATATGCACTCCAGAACTGAGTGTAAAATTATGTTTAAAAACCTTTTTAGGAATCTTAAAGTAAAAAAAATAATTCTTAAAGTATTCATAAATTCAGAAACAAAAATTTAGAACGCATAAGCAGATTTCGTTACATGAGAGAGATGCAAGATATAAGTAAGGGCGAGCAAAAGAGAGGGATATATACAATTTGTATTCGATAGAGTATTTGTAATATTTATTAGATAAATTCAATTTTTTTTGACAGTTGTAATTATTTTGTAATACTATTTTTTAATTTGTTTTATCAAATACATATTACAATGTCTTTAACTTACATTAAGCTTTAACAATCGTTTCTTTTCATGTTAATATCAAGTAACACACCGTAACTTTTGATGTTCGCAATTAAATTTCTTTTGCTAACGGTACATTGCGACGTGCAAGCCGTCACGTAGGCAACGAACCTTTACGGGGCAAGAAACTGTAATAACTAGGAAATGTTACCAGGGGGCGTTCGCACAAGCCTCGGGAACCCTTCAAGTTTACATCGCCTATTAAAACATATGACTATCTTTGAGTTTGCAAAGAGAATGAGAGAGATAGCGAATATGTTAAGGCGCAGAGCGTATTAAAAACCGCTTAATTCTTATACTTGGGACATACAAGTTATGAGGATTGGCGACTAGCTGTCTATCCAAACATCTAATTACAAACTGGAACGGCTAATAGTTAGTGATTTATCAGTGAGTTCACCGCGCATTTAGTTTTTAACTGACTAAAGCAAACTTCCTTTCTTTTTCTTAGAACCCTTTTAAAGTTAACCGTTCGGTAAATCCCTTACTGCTACATTGTTCTATATTTTATCAACCCTCTTATTTTCCGACATCGTATAACCATACGGTTTTGAGTGGACATTAGGAGACCTGGGTAATACTGTACTAAAGTGACAGGATATCAACGTCTTGATTTTAATGTCTTTGTTCCCAAAGCAGGGCAGAGGGTGTCCACAGTGCGCCGCCAGCTTTATCCTGGGTTCTGCGTTTAGTCTCGGACCATGACAATCTGATTCCTCCACGTCAACCGCCATTGAACGCAGTCATAATTGTTTAGTGCGGTCACGCTTCCTACTTCAGGGACTGTGTCTGAAATCCGCGAAGCGTGTGACCAATCAATAACTACGTTTTATCCCATTTACTATGTACTATTAGAATTTTCTAGACTTATAACCTTAATTAGTAAAAATATTAACGAGTGGTTTGATGCAGTGTTTTGCTTACGTTCTTTTTTATTAACGTCTGTTGTTACTTCTGATTGTATAAACTAATGTTAATGTAAATTTGACGATTTTTTAATTATTGAACACACGTGAATTGAATTCGGTTGATAACAAATTAATTTAAATCTCGTGATAACAATAGAATAGGTTTCTTATTTATTGTGAAAATATTATCTTTCATTTTTAACCAGTTTCTTATTGAAAATTTCTGTTTCTGTTTGGGTTTTTATCAATTAAGGAGGTGTTC